CTACAGATAGAACACAATCTCTATCAAAATCTCAGTTGGCTTTTTGGCAGAAGTGAATAAGCTGATCCTTTTTTTTTTTTTTGGAGTTGGAGTCTCACTCTGTCGCCCAGGCTGGAGTACAGTGGCACTTTCACGGCCACCCCAGCGATGACCTGATGGGCTCTGGCGATCTTTCCACCTCAGCCTTCCAAGCAGCTGGAACTATAGGCGCAAGCTACCATGCCCGGCTAATTTTTATTTATTTATTTATTTGTTTGTTTATTTATTTATTTATTTATTTATTTTAGAGACGCGGTCTCACCAAGTTGCCCAGGCTGGTCTCAAGCAATTCACTCACTTCGGCCTCCCAAAGTGCTGGGATTACAGGCTGAGCCATGGAGCCCGGCCTAATCCTAAAATTTATATGGACACGCAAGGGATCCAGAATGAACAAAATGCTTTTGAAAATAAAGAACACAGCTGGAGGACTCGCACTTTCTGATTTTAAAATTTACTACAAAGCTACATTAATCATTGATTAGATGGGGGAATTAACTTTTGTTGTCTTTTCAACAAATGGTGCTGAGACAACTGGACATACACATATAAAAGACTGAATTTTGACCCCTATCTCCTACCATATACAAAAATTAACTCAAAGGGAATAAAGGCCTTAATGTAAGAAGTAAAGCTATATCACTCTTAGAAGAAAACAGGAATAAATCTTTGACTTTTTTTTTTTGAGACGGGGTGTCACTCTGTCCCCCAAGCTGGAGTGCAATGGTACGGTCATGGCTCACTGCAGCCTTGACCTCCTGGACTCAGGTGATCTTTAGGCTTCAGCCTTCCTAATAGCTGGGACTACAGCTGTGTGCTACAATGCTTAGATAATTTTTTTTTTTTTTGGTAGAGATGAGGTCTTGCTATGTTGTCTAGGTTGGTCTCAAACTTCTGGGTTCAAGCAATCCTCCCACTTCAGTCACCCAAAGTTCTGAGATTACAGGCATGAGACACTGTACCTGGCCCTTTATGATATTTGAATAGGCAAAAGTTTCTTAAATACGATACCAAAAGCACAAACAACAACAAAAAATATGATTTTGGCTTCATCAAAATTTAAAAACATTTGTGTTTCAAAGGACACTATGAAAGCGAAGGAGGTGCTTTAGAGAGCACTTTGTTCTCAGGAGGTCTCAGTAGACATCCCTGATAAGTTACTAGCTGTGTCATCCTCTAGAGATCCCAAGACATTGCAGCTATAGGAGAATACAAAGATGAAGGTCATTTGGAGAGACCAACAGACCACCCAGAGGGCCAGAAGGCTGCAGCTCCTTTAATGTGGTCACCAGGCCCAGAGCCCAATACTCAATTTATTAGTGCAGTACTACATCTCTGGCTTCATTTTTCTGCATTTCCAAGTCGACCGTTTCTTTGTTTGTTTGTTTGGTTTTTGTTTGTTTGAGTCAGAGTCTCACCCTGCCGTCCAGGCTGGAGTGCAGTGGGACGCTCATGGCCACCGAAGCTTCGACCTGCTGGACTCAGGTGATCCTTCCACCTCAGCTTTCCAAGTAGCTGGGACTACAGGCATGTGCCACCATGTCCAGCTAATTTTTTTTATTTTTATTGTAGAGACGAGGTCTCGTCATGTTGCCCAGGCTGGTCTGGAACCCGCGGGCTCAGGCAATCCTCTCGCCTCTGCCTCCCAAAGTGCTGGAATTACAGGCATGAGCCACTGCGCCCAGCAGCTGACCGTTTCAAGCAGGCATTCTTTCTTTAGATAAATAATAGTGTGCTCTGAGCAATAGTCAAGGCCTGCTCTTCTTGCCTTTTATACATTTACAGTTTTATCAAGTTAACAAAAATCTAATAGGCATTTCCCATGCCGGGCACTGTGCTAGGCACTTGGGTCCAAGAGATACTCTGCCAAGTGACAACTGCAAATATTTGTATTTAGGTCTATCTCCTGGTTACCTGGAAGCTTGAGACTGGATGAACCGTCTGTCGTCTCAGTTGTTTGGTGTTGCTCAGCTCAGCTTTCAGTGTCATTCTTTATGTATCAATAATATCAGTCTTCTAGAGGTTCTAGAAGTGCCTTGATATGACTTCTATAGCTTTTCTTTTTAACTTTTGTGTGTGTGTGTGTGTGTGTGTGTGTGTGTGAGTTGGAGTCTCACTCTGTCGCCCAGGCTGGAATGCTGTGGCACACTCATGGCCATTCCAGCATCGACCTGCTGGACTCCAGCGATCCTTCCGCCTCAGCCTTCCAAGTAGCTGGAACTACAGGCACACACTACCACGCCCAACTAAATTTTTATCTATTGTAGAGACAAGGTCTCGCCGATTTGCCGGGGCTGGTCTCAAACCCGCGGGTTCAAGCAATCCACTCGTCTCGGCCTTCCAAAGTGCTGGGATTACAGCCTGAGCCACTGAGCCCAGTCTTCTATAGCTTTTATAGGCATGGTTTAGCGCACAACAATGCAAAGAACACTACCTAGTAATAATGTGACAGAAAACAGCTATTGTGTGTGCCTATGTGCTGTGATATGATAAGTGCCTTTGATGCATTATTGCCTTTGATCCTCAAAACAATCCTATGCAGAAGATATTATTAAACTCTTCATTATACAGATGAGGAAACAGGAGCATAGAGAGGTCAAGCAACTTTTTTCAAAGCTACACAGTCAGCAGCTGGCCAAGGCAAGGCTCTAACCCAGGTCTATCAGATTAATGAAGGCATGTGCTTAACCACAATGCCAGATATTACCTCATTACAATGTTCATATAATGTTCAAATCCGCCTAAATTATCAAAAAGAAACAAAAATATATCCAGTGGCTTTTATTTAAGAAGACAGAAAATTATGATATACTTTTAAGAAAGATTTCTACCCAAAGTGGAAAAAAATATTTTAAGCATTGGTGCTTAAAGGAATAAGCATTATTTAACAACAAAAAAAGTCCCTGACAATACCAGACCCAGGAGATGTTTCTGTATCATCTAGTATTCTTTTTTTTTTTTCTTTTAAGTTGGAGTCTCACTCTGTCACCCAGACTGGAGTGCAGTGGCCGCTTCTGGCCACTGCAGCCTCGACCTGCTGGGCTCCGGCAATCCTTCTGCCTCAGCCTTCCAAGTAGCTGGAACTACAGGCACACACTACCACGCCCGGCTAATTTTTGATTTATTGTAGAGATGAGGTCTCGCCGAGTTGCCCAGGCGGGTCACGAACCCGCAGGCTCAGGCAATTCACTCACCTCGGCCTCCCAAAGTGCTGAGATTACAGGCTGAGCCACCGAGACCGGCTCACGTAGTATTCTTAGAACCGGAATGAAGCTCAGTATACCTTCTGGCAGCTTCAGGGTGCAGAAATTATTGGCAACTTCACCATGTTTTTATTTGAAAAATAAAAAGAAAATACCATGATCTGTTCTATAGTAGACATTATTCTATAAGGGATATAGAGTAAATTCACACCACACATCTACCTCAAAAGTCACACACATGCAGAAAGAGAGACTCATACACACAAAGGAGTAGAGAGAGAAAGAGAGAGAGAAGGAAGCAAAGTTTATCTCAGGCATTGCTACTAGTACTGCTAATAATAATAATCATAATAATAATTTGGCCAGGCATGGTGTTTAATTCCCATAATCCCAGCACTTTGGGAGGCCCAGGCAGGAGGATCACTTGAGGCCAGGAGTTCAAGACCATCCTGGGCAACATAGTGAGACCTAGTCTCTAAATATAAAATAATACCAGACTTGATAATATAGTGAGGCCTCATCAATACTGAAATCAAAAAATAAGTTGGGCATTGTGGTATGCACTTGTAGTCCCAGCTACTCGGGAAGCAGAGGTAGAAGGAATGCCTGGGTCCAGGAGTTTGAGGCTGTGGTGAGCCATGAGTATACCACTGTACTCCAGTCTAGGCAACAGAGTGAGGCCTCACTCAAAACAAACAAACAAATATACAAATAAATAAATAAAACAATAGCTACCACACAGAGAATGCTTACTACATGCCAGGTACTCTTCTGGGACTTTACATGTATGAATATTCATTAAACTCTCACGCCAATCCTATGAGATAGGTGACACTATTATTTCCATTTTATAGGTGGGGAGACTGAGGCCTAGAGGCATAGTTAAGTAACATGCCAAAGGTCACAAAGCTACTAATGAGAGGTAGCTGAGATTTGAACCCATGAAGTCTAGCACCAGAATCCATGCTGAAACCACAACTACTTGTCCACAGATAATACTACTAATTCTTGTCCACTAATATAGAGTACTACTTTTGTCCCTGGCCCTGTGCTAATTACTTCACGGTAATTGCATCACAGATCTTATGACGTTGGCACTAAATTACTACACAATATCTTATTTGATTGTTAAAACAACCCCACGAGTTAGCTATTACTGTGTCCATTCTACAGATAAAAACACCAAGCCACAGGAAGTTGAGTAACTTGACACACAGGTGGAAGTATCTTCTCTCTTTCAGTAACACCTCTTATGCACACTGTAGGTAGCCATATGATAGAAAATAATGCAATAAAATGTAACACAATTTTTACCTCAGGGTCAGGCTCTCTCAGCTTTTCAAGGCCTCTGTTCTAAAGTGTTAATGGGAAAGAATGACATGGTCTTTCCTCTCTTCCCAACTCAGGGGGATTATAGTGACCCTAGGTAACAGCCAGTGGCCCAGTTTTGATAGCCCTTATTAAGGGAACCCAGCCACACTCGCTCTGTCACCAGAAGCTTGTTTTTAGGAATTGGATGCTGTATATTAAAGGCATCATTTTTAAAGTATTGATTTTGTTTTTTTGAACTGGTTTCTGGAAAAGACAGACTAGCAATCCACCACGGGGGACCACCAATCTCAACTCTGGTTTCCATAAAATGCTACCTCTGTTTAACTCGGTGGCCAGTGACAGTGAAAGTAAAACAAGTACTTTTACTGCTAATTTTGATCAGCAGAGCAAAACATGATGACAGCGAAGAAGGCACCCTGGTTAGTTTACCTCCACTTGAAGGGTTGCACATCCTTTCAGGAAGTCATTGATATTGTTGATGCAGTCGGCTTCGGTTTGGGGCTCCAGACAATACTAGAGAAACATAGTGAAATGTCACTTGGAGGTTGTCATTCAATACCAAGCCAACCATGTTCATCATTTTCTGATAAGTAGAGAAAGTAGGCTTTTTAAGGCATGGGACAACATTGCTGTCAATCCAGGAAGAGAAATAACCACTGAAGGAAGTGATGCAAAAATCTAAACGGTTGGTTTTGTTTCAAATATCACCAAATCTTTAGTCCCAAGACATGTCTATTTACAAAATTTTTTTCACATGCCTTCTGCTCAAGTGTGCTGATAGCAAATTAGAGAGCCCAAGACAGTTTTGCTTGTTTTTTTGTTTGTCTGTTTTTAGCTTAGTTCTCACTTTCAAGCAAGGAAGCAATGCCTGTTACCTTTCCCCCTTCCTCATGATAATTTATTAAAATTATATTTCCCTTTGGTTGTTCTCTACATTTGAACAAATTTCTCCACATTTCATCACTCTTTCTCAAGTTTAAGATATTATAAGGAAGTCTAATTTCTCAATAACACTAATTTGAATAAACATGATCAAAAAGGCAAAAGGCTCACAGTCACATTCCATGATGACATTAAGAAAATAACTGTAGGATTGTACTATACTTCCCTTAAGTGCCTACTTTAGAAATTATCTATTCTCATGATCGAGGGTTTCCAACATTAAAAATCTTGAAGTTTTTTTTAAAGACAGTAAAGTTAGTTTCACTTTGAACGCACGTTGCATTAGAAACATGTCTGCTTTCTACTGATATTGCAGACATTATATGACATTTGAATTATTTCTCCTAGTTGCTAAACAGTCTCTCCTTCAATGAATTTTTCTTAAAGGAAATCTACATTGATTTTAGTCAAACTGCTAATAAATGTCATCAAGATCTGTTATAAATCATTCTGTTATTACACAGACTCATATATGCCCCAAGTTCAAAACATGTTCTTGGTACGCAAAAAGATGTAACATGCAGCTACATGACAGAGCAAGTCTGTGATATGGGTGTCTTCTTTGTCCCCTATTGCTAGTGGTGTAACATGTTTTCCCTATACTCATATTTGGGGCCCAATTCCTAAAAGATAACATTTCTTTTTTTGACATTTTCAAACTACAAAGACAGTAAGAAAGAATGTCTAAATCTTCAAAAGATATTAAAGCAGAAGATTCCCATGAGCTAAGCAGTAAAAAGTCTCCAGAGTTACGTTATTGCTGCTCTCTGGTGGTAAGGAATCCCAACGATACTGCAAATTTGTCTTACCTTTTCCACAGAGCCAGGCATAAATCTGTTGATCAGTTTGCACAGCACTACCCCATTTTTCAGCGAAGACTTCAAAAACTCCTCCGGATCACAGATGGTCTTTTTGGGGGAATCCAAAACTCCCAAGGATATAAGCCATGTCACGACTCGCTCTTCTGGATTCATTACTGAGGACAGTACACTCCGAACAACTCTCTGGGGCAGCTGCAAGGACGAAGCCACATCCGCGGTTGCATCTGCTGTTGTCTTCCTTTTTATGAGTTCTCTTCTGGTGCTTGCAGAGCAAAGGTTTAAAACAACTTTTCTTAGACAACAGTGTAAACCACTCAAAATATGGGATTTTAAAACCACAGAGATCACACTCAAAGATGTATAAACAGATAAAAATTAATGTCAAAATTCTGGATACCAATGTTTTTCTTTTTCAAAACCTGCAAAACAAATTCATTAGGGTAAAAAAAAAAAGGAGAAGAAACACACACACACACAGTGCAAGAAGCTATAAGGGAAGAAAGTGAGGAGGATGCTGGGGAGGGAGGAGAGAGAAGGAAGCAACAAGTGCTCTTGGAAAACAGAGGTGAACCAGCACTTTAGGGGACCTTGGAAATGAGACACTCATGGGTCAGTCTGGGAAAACACTGTCAATAAATAGTCTAGCCCCAGTGAAAATCTGGCTTCTGTTAGCAGGAAGATGCCAACTGGCTCTTAGGTCAGACAGAGCTGAGCCTCATGGGGAGCTATACTGTCACAACGGGGCTCAAAGAAGGTAGACAGACAATTCTTCCAAGAAACGGCCGGATGTCCTCACACTATCTCACAGAGATGGTGTGTCACGATTATTCCTTGCAAAACACGTTGAGTTGCATGGTGACAATGTGCCAAGCAAATGAAGATTGTGCCTGCTGTCAGCCATCACTGTGTATAAGCAGAAGCAAGAAGAATGGCATTTTACTTTGCAGCCAAAAAGCTATGTTTAGGGAAATAGTCTAAGGATAACATCTGACATCCTGTTTACTTGCATTCTTTAGCGATTCTTTTTCTGGACCTGGTTCCACTACACAATCCAGCTGCAGTACCCTTAGCAAAGGCTCAGACACAGTCGCATAAGCGGGAAAATATACTTGAAAACAGAGCGTTTGAGAACAAAAGAGCACTTGTCCCCGGTCTACACTACAGTCTGGAAGGTTCATGTTTCCCCAACAAGAAACACTTTGCATTTTAAAATACAGCTTGGAAAAAAAAAAGACCCAGTGTATATCAAGAGATCTTCATTATTCTCAAACATTTTGAGAACCAGTTAAAATAGGCATAGTTCTAAGTCCATGGGTTCAAGACCAGCCTGGGGGACTTGGTGAGACCTCATCTCTACGCTAAATTAAAAATTAGCTGGGCATGGTAGCACTTGCCTGTACTTCCAGCTACTTAGAAGGCTAAGGCAGAAGGATTGCCAGAGCCCAGCAGGTCGACGCTGGGTTGGCTGTGAGTGTGCCTGGGCAGTGGAGTGAGACTCCACCTCAAAAATAAATAAATAAATAAATAGGCATCGTTTTGGGAGGCTTATGATAACGCCAACTTTAAGAGCATAGTCCTAGGTTGGCAAATGTGTGCACTCACAATCATTACCCCTCCTCATGGATGGAAGACATCAGATCAATCATAGCTCTTTCCTACTAGGCCTCAGAATCCTTTCCAAGACAGTTTCAGGCATCTACTACCAAATAATCAGCTTAGATAATCCTACTAAATATTTTCAAATCTGCCCCTTCTTACCCTGTCATAACTTTTATTGTACTTTATTAATTGTTGATCTGTCTCCTCAATCAGAATGTAAGCTCCCTAAAGTTGAGGTCTTGGTTAACACTGTGTTGCCAGCAGTGTGCCTGTTATACACCATGGATGTTCAAAAATGCTGAACAAATGAATGAGTGAAATATCCTCAGCTGGTGTTCCTGGTATAGACAGTACTCGATTATAACAATTTGTGTATGTTTGTTTTAATGACTTAAAACATTTTTCTTGCTAATTATTTTTTACAATTTTATTGAGCTATAGTTGACACATAATAAACTGCTTATATTTAAGGTGTATGATTTAATACATTTTCATATGCATACACCATTGATGCAATCATGCACATGCAACTCAGATAAACCTTCCATCACCTCCAAAAGTGATCTTGTGCCCTTTTAATTTTGTCCTCTTCTTTTCCTCCTAAATTCCAAGCAACCACGGATCTATTTCACTCTCTGTAGATTTGTCTGAATTTTAAGAATCTTATATAGATAAAAGTATACAGTATGGTACTTTCTTTTCTCTGGCTTTTTAAACTCAACATCATCATTTTGAGACTCATTTGTGTTGTTGTTTCTAGCCATAGTTCTATAATAAGGTTTATTTGATGTACTTATACTTTAAACAAAACAAGTAGAGTCATCAAAAGTCTTCATCGACTTTGGCCCATGGCCAAATCTATGTTATGGAAATAAGAACAAAATCCGTTTTTTGATAAACTACATTCCCAAATCCAACCTTCTTAAACACATTTTATATGTCATTTGAACAGTGTTCACAATTGCTCATCAAAATTTTACTCTACAGACAAACAAAATCTGGCATATTATTGAGGTATCACTTACATTTTATGATTAAAAACAAAGCCTGAGTAAATTTTAGGAACCCAGCCTAGTCCAAAATAGGCTTGAGTTCACTGAGGTCATCTGGATGAAAATCTGCCTCAGACTTTGGGCACTGGCTATAGCAAATATTACTATAAGTAATAATGTGAAACAGGAAGACAAGGCCACTGACTCAAGACAGAAGTAACAGTTATATTTGTATAAAAATCAAAAGTTACAGTTGGTATAGTAAAATTTTTATATACCTTATTAATTGTTTATTAGTGTTTTTTTTTAATATCAGAAAACAAATGTTCTCTTTTAAGGTTTATATCTAATTTTTTAAAAATATATTTTGTTTTAAAGATATGGGGTATAGTTCAGGATTAGGTATACAAATGGACATCGTACAGGTAAAGTTTGGACCTCCTTTTGGTCCCCACTTTGCCTGGTTTGAGATCAGGTACCCTTATTGATGTTGTGTTCCCCACCCCCCACTCCTGGTATAGTAAATTGTCAAGGAAGCAAGGAATTGTAGGGCAGTGGCAAACACATAGATGAAATGTCTACCCATGGAACCCAAAAGTGCTAGGGAAGCAAATGAAGACAGAAGCTAATGAAGCCGGTCATGGTGGCTCATGCCTGTAATCTTAATACTTTGAGAGACTGAGGTGGGAGGATCACTTGAGCCCAAGAGTTCAAGACTATCCTGGGCAACCTAGTGAGATTTTGTCTCAAAAAAAAAAAAAGCTGGGTGTGGTGGCACATGCCTGTAATCCCAGCTACTCCGAGGCTGAGGCTGAAGGATCACCTGAACTCAGGAGGTCAAGGCTGCGGTATGCCATGATTCTGCCACTGCACTCTAACCTGAACTACAGAGTGAGAACCCAACTCAGAAGAGAGAGAAAGAAAGAAGCTGAGGAGCTGGGTTCGGTAGCTCAGCCTGTAATCCTGTGCTTTGGAAGGCTGAGGTGAGTGGATTGCTTGAGCCCGCGGGTTCGAGACCCACCTGGGCAACTTGGCAAGACTTCATCTCTACCATAAATCAAAAATTAGCCGGGTGTGGTAGCGCACGCCTGTAGTTCCAGCTACTTGGAAGGCTGAGGTGGAAGGATCACCAGAGCCCAGCAGGTCGAGGCTGCGGTGGCCGGGAGCGGCCACTGCACTGCAGTCTGGACGACAGAGTGAGACTCCAACTCAAAAAAAAAAAAAAAAAGAAAGAAAATTGGAGATGTCTGGGATATGCAATATTCTTTTTAAAATTGTGTCTATTTGTGTTTAGAAATCACAGTGACACAAAGAGCAGGATTCACACAAGAGCATGAGAAAAAAAAAGACTCCCACCCCACTTTAAATCCTTAGTACCACATCCTCTGGGCCACTGAATCTGCCTCTTCAAAGGCTTTCTCCATTCCATTCTTTCATCCTAATGAACTCTCTAGCAGATCACAGTTTGGTTGATTTTCTTAAAACATCTCTGATGTTAACACTTCTGCTCAAAAGCCCTCAGAAGCTCTCCAGTGCCTAAAGCAGTGATTGCCAAACAACAATGTTTATAATAATCGCCTTCTGTTGGTTATTCTTTTTGAGAAACTTGCCCATGGCAGGTCTTTCTGCCATGAATCTTCCTTTTTCCTTCTCTTCTTCTCGCTAATAAACTCTGTTTTAAAATTTTGCTGGCCTCTGTAAAATTCATTTTAGGTTTGAGCCAAAGAATCCATGAGTTTTGTGCCGCACCCTACCCAGCATCAAAGGCTGGATTATTTTGAATTAATGTATGACCATTCTTTTACATAGCAGCCTTGGATCTCTGCTGCATGCCTGTTTTGAAAATAGGGGGCATTGAGTGGAAGAATTCAAAGAAGATGCTGCATTCTTGGCTAACCCTCTTTCCTGAACACATAACAGTCAACTAAAAACAAATTTCTGTTGTGGCCATTGTGGCAGAGGGAGTTTTCCCCTAAAGGAGTGCTAACAAGGAAGGATGAACTCATAAGGTGTGATATGATGATGCTGAGGTGGCCATCAGGAAATAGACTTGGTGACTTTGAGATGATGATTGCCAAGCAAGGAGGCATTAAGCTCAGATCTTGGTTCCTGTCATAGGCGCTCCATGGAGCTGAACTTCCTGGCTCTGGATTCTGTTAGGCTCAAATAACCTAGAAGCCTAAAATAGTTATGCAAAGTGACTCTATAGAAATCAGCAGAGGCCGGGCTTGGTGGGTTAGCCTGTAATTCCAGCACTTTGGGAGGCCAAGGAGATTGGATTGCCTGAGCCCATGGGTTTGAGACCAGCCCGGGCAACTTGGTGAGATCTTGTTTCTACTATTTATTTATTTATTTATTTATTTATTTATTTATTTATTTTTTGAGTTGGAGTCTCACTCTGTAAAAATTAGCACATGCCTGTAGTTCCGGCTACTTGGAAGGCTGAGGCAGAAGGATCGCCGGAACCCAGCAGGTCGACACTGGGGTGGCTGTGAGCATACCACTGCACTCCAGCCTGTGCTACGGAGTGAGACTCCAACTCAAAAAAAAAATAAACAAAGATTTAAAGGTCTTATTCCCAGATACTCTAGTTTAGAAGATCTGCAGTGGGGCAATGGAGCAAAGGAATCTTTATTATTATAGTGTTTCACGATTCTGATTCAGATAGACCAAGGTCACACTTGAAGAAACAAATTGGTTTATAACTTTCTACTCCACTCCAGTTTCTACCAACACCTGGGTCATTTTAATATTCACAAGTATAACAATCCAATATCATGACCACTCAGTTCCCTGATCTCCTCTACCTGTAATCGATACATATTACCTCTCACTCCCCTTTATGTCTGTTATGTGAAAATGGACCTAAAGCCTTGAAATATTTTTACTTTACCAGCTGGCATGATATGGAGTTTTATCAGTAGGCGGTGGTGGAGAGACACTGCAGGAAGAGAAGGTATTACTTCCTGTTTCTGTGTGCCCTCTCCACGGGCTTCTGCCGAGTTCAAAGTTTTCTCAGTGCCTACCCTCTGCTGCACTGGTGTCCCCAGCGCACAGTGGGTAGCAGTTTCTTCTGGCACTACCTTTGTGTGGTTCTGTAGCAAAGTGTCTCAGTAGAGACACTTTCCCATGTGAACCAGCACTGTAGAGGGCACATTTTCAGAACATTCCAGAAGGCAGATGTCCAGGAAGTTCCACCAACTCAGCACCACAGCAATTTCTCCAACAAGGCCTGGGTCTCAACCCATGTGGAGAAGGTGGTTATCATGGCTCTAGTGGTAATTACCATTACTCATTATTTTAATATTGTCTGT